ACTAGCAGAATGCGCAGTGGAAGAATTAGAAATAGCACGAGCGCGACAGTTATCTCGGCAGAGTTGCAGCATACTAACTAGAAGAGTGTCTTTTTCTTCTTCACTTGCTGCTAATTCTTTATCGAGACCCCAAAGGCGTCGAACGGGATTTTTGTGAGCAGTAGTAGCGGGAGGAACACGCGATGCTTGTCTGAAAGATGGGCACCATACCTCTACGAGTTTCATTGTCCATGCTTTGACATCCCACTCTCGTTGAGCGACACCTCGTACATCGTCATCAATGAAAAGACCCTCGGTTGTGATTCTTAATATTAGTCCGTCGGTAACAGAACCGACACCAGATAGAAGTTGAGATGTAGGGGTTTTGTGGAATGCATTATTGAATGCGAATACACCTTTGATAACAATTTTATCCGGATCCTTGGTGCTATATGCTCCTCGTGTGGAAGGAGGTGGGGTAGTTCTACTTGTCGATTGTGAGGCCGCGTATGATGATTCGGAATACAAGGAACTGAGTGACTTTTTTCGGGCTGGTCTTGGCGTTTGTGCATACGATGAGTGGGACTGGGAATCCTTGTCGGTACCTGCATACGTTCTTGCAGTTGAGACCGGGGGTTTCTTGTATGAGGTGGATTGTGCTTGAGGTCGGGGTATCGAGCTGGTAGTGGGGGGAGCGGGTGTGGTTGTGGGCGGTTTTCCATTTGGCCAAGGGCTTATTCTCTCTCCCACTCCAGCATTCGAATAAGTATTCGGTTTTCTCCGTTCCGCTGCAAGTGCGGCTAGGGCTGCCCTTTCACGTTCTTCCTGGAGTTTGACTTCTCTTATTTGCGCTTCTACTTCGGCTGCCCTTTCGCGCTCTTCCTTGAGTTTGAGTTCCCTCATTTGAGCTGCCACTTCGGCTGCTTTCTCGCGCTCCTCCTTAAGTTTGACCTCACGTATTTGCGCCGCTACTTCCTTCTCGCGCTCTTCTCTGGCTTTGGCCTCACGTTTTGCTGCAGCAGCAGCTTTAGCATCTGCCCATGCTTTCGCAGCAGCTCTTGCCTTTTCCGCCTTTGCTTTTGCCTCCGCGTCTGCCTTTTCCTTGTCTGCTCTGGCTTTCTTGTCGGCTTCTACTCTGGCAATAGCTTCTAGTCGCAATTTTTCCTGCTCCTTTTTGATAGCTTCCTCTTCTTTCCTTAAAACTTCCCTCCTGGCGTCCTCTTCTTTCCTTAGAGCTTCCCTCCTAGCTACTTCCTCTCTAAGTCTCCTATCGTAGTCCGCTCTTGCCTTAGCTTCTGCTTCTGCCTTGATTCGCTCTGTCTCTGCCTTGATTCGTTCTCGAGTTTCGCGGTCCTCCTTTGCCTTTCTCTCTCGAGCCTGTTGCTCCTCTCTCTCCAACTTCGCCAACCTTTCGCGTTCCCCTCTTTCCTTCTCTCGGGCTGCTCGTTCTCTCTTCTCCCGAGCTTCCAGCTCTTCCCTATCTCTTCGCTCCTTGGCTTCCCATTCCTCTCTCTCCTTTTGTTCCTTGGCTTCCCGGTCCTCTCTTTCCTTTCGTTCCCTAGCTTCGCGTTCGGCCTTTTGTTTTTTCTCGCGGACAGCTCGTTCCAGAGCTTCTTTTGCTCGCAACTCTCTCAATCTCTTTTCCAAATCTTCCTTTCGCTTCTTCTCGGCCTCTACCTTCTTTCTCTCCTCTTCCTTCCTTCTAGTCCTTTCTCGAGCCTCTTCCCACGCCGTTCTCGAGGCATTTTCTTTCGATCGAGCGTCGTCGTTTGTGCCAGGGGTTGTGCCAGGACTGTACCTTGGTGTTGCGCCCGGCATCTCTGGACCGGCATCAGGCGAAGGAGGAGGAGTTTCTTCCCAACCTTCACTTGATCTTTTTCTTGCGCCAGATCCGGCCTGCGGATTAGGTGGAGGGTCCCCAGCCCCCTCTGATGTGGATCCAGGTGAAAATCCAGTTCCTGAAGTTCGTGGCCCACCACCGGAAGCTGATCCATTGGAATATGTATTATTATTGGCACCTGTAGATGATCCACCATGCGGAGGTGCACCCGATCCTTGACCTGGTCCGGGCCTGGTCTCACCGTTCGATTGCATCCGCCCTAGTGCCCAAGCTCCCAACCCAATTGCAACCATCAAAATCAAGGTTGCTGGCCCTCCACCTCCTTTCATGGAATCCATGAGTGGTTTTAATATGAAAGTTAGTGCGACAAGCACAAGAGCTGAAGCAAACCCCGCTACGAAACTATTAACATTTGGTTGTAGTGAGGGTAAGTAGAGAAATCCTGAACCTGACGCATGCGGTGGAATGATAAAAATGTCATAATTCCCTGGCGGTAGACCAGATGAATTTGGCGGAGTGCCATGAGGGGGAGGGGGTGGTGGTGGTCCATCCGCCATTGTATTTGATGTGAATTTATTGTATGAAGATCGATATGTACAGGAACTGAAAAATCGTGTGCTTTGATTGTGAATCTCTAATATCGAATTGGCAGAGGGTAACTGGAAAAGATGATAGTATCGTCATTAAGCCATGGATAACTGTACTGTAAAGCAAGACATCAGCTTCCAAACATTTCCGTTTTCGTGCAGGATTTGCGCAATGAACAAACCCTCTCAAGAAGCAAATGTCGCCGAGTTCCTAAGCTTCTGGTGACGAACGGGGAAAAGAGTACTTTGCTAGCAATAATCATTCGACACTTTACTAATAAGATACATCCATCCACAGATCCGAACGGTATAAACCAGCGCAGATAATTGGCAATATTGGCAAATTGAATGATCAATTGTCTCCTTAATCTCACCCTCTTGTCGCACTCTGTCTGTATGGTCCGAATTCTTCCTACCAAAGCAAATAAGAATGAGAGTTCACAAGGGAGGTATGGTTAATTTTAAAAGTTGTATGGGATCAATCATCAATCAAAGTAATTCGTAAAGGCTTTGGGACAGAAAAGTCCCCCCAAAATTAAGTTTCCGTGTGTCAAGATGATACTTTCTCTCCAGGGTTCCTGAGGTGGAGGGTGGAGGGTGGAGGGTGGATAGGCAGGTGGTACTTAGTATAGGCGAATGCACCGCGATAAGTTCTCGAGTCTGAGAGGGAAAAATGATAAGGAAGGATCAATGTGGATGATTCAATTTCATAATCTTTACTTTACTTGAGCTAAGGATATATTAATAAGGTTGATTGTGATGTTGATATTGATTGATATTCGATTAGACAGTTTATACAGTGGATATACTTATCAGACTTCCAGCGAGAAATTCACTCATCAAAGTTGCCAAAGCTATATGCTTGCCTGCTTGCTTGCTTGCTGACTTAGCCTTCTTTTATCCCATCCTTCACTCAAAGACACACCCAAAACACGCTTCAAAAAATAGGATATTCCTTGTTTCCTTCTTCAAGACCCAATGATGGCGTGGATCATATCAATGGTCTCAATATCGATCCAATCACCATGAGTGCATTCAAACCCAATCTCCTCGAAACGAAATCATCATCAATTGTTGCTTCACACTTGCTAGGTATGCAGTACACTTGACTGTGATGGTCTTCTATCTATCTATCTACCTAGCTACTTACCTACCAATCTACCAACCTACTTATCTACCAATCTACCAACCTACCTAGTAACATAGCATCTCTAGCCATCTCATATACAAAGTGAACGAATGGTTCACCAATACAACTCCGATACAGTCCATGAGCAGCACTACGACCACGTTTCTCATACCAAGAAAGCATTCATCCGTCCAATCAATCTCTCGTACGAGTAACTTGGTTTCGTCCTACTAGGTACTTACACTCCACCATACAACGGACTAACACGGACTAATAACACGAACTATCTCCATTCAATCAATACCCATTGCCCAAACTATTGAAGCAACCAGCAGCGCCAATACCAATTCATTCCATCCAATGATTTCAATTCAATCGACATTGATTTCTTCATCTGCACCTCTACCGTTAAGACCCTCTATGCGGTCCAACCCATCATGTCACAGTGTCACAATATCACACGGCATATGTCGAGGTAAACAAGGGTCGGTCCGCTCACTAGGATGATAAAATTGTCTAATTTATCCTCTTCTTTCTGTGTCTGTCCACCATTGCCAATCATTCATCATTCAACACCCATGATCATGCATTTTCTCTGGCGCCGGCATCAATATCATTATTAAAATTTCAAGGGGTCCAAAACACTCCCCCCCCCAGCACTAGTCTGACCAAACCGGCTTTTGTGGTTCGTCAGGTTTTTTTCTTCTTTCACTCTTTTGCTTCTTGTGGGACAGACGTTACCACGCAAAACTAAACAAGTGGGTTAGAGCGTTGCTGGGGGCAACAGGTGAGCTGGATGACGTATTTGGTGTGTTGAATGAGAGAGTCGTTACAATATCCGAATAGAAAGGCGACTAAAGGGCATTAGATTCAGATGTAATGACCGTACAAGGACTGTGTGGTCGAATAGGTCCTATTGGACAATATGCATTGATTCGAGCGAGTTGAAGCCAAAGTCAATATGTTGAATTACAGATCTCAAAGAGAGAGCTTCGGAGAGAAAAGGAGATGAAAAGCTTCATGAGCTTAAATCTCTTAGAATGTCTTTCCCATCAATCAAGCCATTCCTAGCAACATACGACGACCGCAAAAATTGACGCGGAAGCAAAATACTGAAGCCGTTTCCAAGTATCAAACAGTGTCTCCTTATATAGTAGTGCTATATAGCTTACATACTACGTTTACTCAAGGGCATATCTTAGACTATAGCCATCTTCTGAAAACCCCACTTTATCTTCTTCGCAAGATCGTTAAATTTAATAAGATCGAGCTCCGGTATATGGGCCGTCCCAACTATATTGTACTCAGGCCGTTCATACTCTTTTCCTTTTTTACCCCTCTGTGCATTCTTCAGCCTCCTCAAAATCAACGGACTCTCCAAACACGCAACCATAAGCACCAAATCCCCTTTTTTTGACATCCATTGTTCCATGTACCTCGCGCCCTCACTGTCTTCCCAAATGCTCATTGGCAGAAATTCCAGCTCAAAAAGTGGGTGTTGTCTCGCCTATTGGCCGCTTCTCATGTTCTAGCTCTTTGTTGCGCCGCCCATTCTTCTCTACTACTCTGATCGGCTTTCTGATTTCGCTAAGCACATGCCCATAAATCAGCAACTTGTCATTTTCAGTATGAACGGCCCTCTTCTCCCCAGGTAACCTTGTACGCGATGCATCTGCTGGTGGTAACATCCAATAGGAACTTTTCGGCTCTCCTAATCCAGGTAGGGGTGACGCGAAATCTGGCACCCATGACGGCCATTGTTCTTCCTTTATCGGCTTCGCATGTGTGTTAACCATTCGGAGAACGTCCAAGTTATTATCTTGCACCAATACGTATTTTGTCGTGTCAGTGCACAGCTTCTGGATCGATTGTCTGTAATCGATCTCTGGAAACCGTACAAGGCGATGCCCATCATAGCTAGCATTTTTCTCTACTGTAAATCCTAATAGACTGTATATCTGGTCCTCTGGCATTTTTGGAACCTTTCTCCCTAAAGGTAGCTAAAAGCTTTACAAGATCTAAAGCTCCATTGTATTCTATAATAATCTCGATTAGGTGGTGGATTCGCCATGTAACCTCTGGCTCGATGCGACATTCAGAAGGAAGCTCCCTCTGGATTTTAGGAGTTGCATAGAGTAGTTGAACAAAGCGAAGGATATCGGTTATGTCGTAATCGCCTACAAATATCGATCGGTTGGAAGAGAGCACCATTTCCTGGATTATCCAAGATCTAGTGATATAGGATCGAGTGAGTAGTTTTCTGATTGCTTTCCAACCGGAAACTGTATTTAGGCGCAGTGTGCCAGTCGATTTTTTGTACGATAAGGTCCTTCTCGCCTTCCTTGAGATATTTTGCTCCTATTGTTTCCATTGTCAAATTCGTTGCCTTTCCAGAGATGACTTCTCTAAGTACCCCAAATAAAACTCGCCATTTAACCTTATTCCACGAAGTGAAATGCAAAATATCCCAGTCGCTCTCAAGCTTTGAATACCTCCGCCCGCGCACTTGTTCAAACTTTGTAAGACAATGAGATATAAGTGCTAAGCCAGCACTTATATCAACAGATTGATCATCATTCCCGAGCCAGATGCGCACATTGGTGGCACATTTGTAAATTTGATGCATGATCCTTAGCTGTTGCTCTTTTTCGGTATTATCGTTTTGATCAATACCGATTGCGTCTATGCAAAGTCGTGAGGTGACATCGTTACGTCGAATGGCAAGAAGTGTAGAATGGAGGTTAGATGTGACATAGAAGGGTTCGCCATTTAACATCACTGGCCTGATATATGAATTAGCCAAACTTGTCCTGTTCAGGGTTTTTTCTTAAATCGTCTTAGCACTGTCCAGACACTTTTCAGTTGTATTTCGATCTGAAGTCCGACACGAGATGTCTATTATTGGGATTACTGGCAATGAAATCAAGTTTCAAGAGATTACATACATTTTATCTTTTCTTTCGTCTTCATCCCAGGTATATGACAACGCCTCATATCAAGGAACGTACTTCGCAGGAAGCCATTTAGTACGGTCGCCAGGACGAAATTTAAATAAAGTACTGTATAACTTCAACTCGATCGGGTCTTCGGGTTTCCCAGACTCGACATAGATCAATCAAATGTATCCCTGTGGCAGAACTTCGTGTCGATATGATATAGGGTTATCCAAATTTTTCTTGATGCTCGGTGGATGCTCTGGAATTGGAGAAATGCTTCCTCCAACTCCATCTAATATTGTGAAACTTGAAACAGGAAGAAGCACAGAGATGAAGAAGTATGTGGCGAGTCTTATCCTTGGCAACGGCGATTCAAGCAACTTTGATATTTTGAAAGAGTCTATATCGATCCAAATACCAAAAGGCACAAATTGCAGGAGCGTTCCGAAGACTGCTATCCCTCGAAAGGGAGATTTATGCAGCTTCGATAATTCATGAATACCTTTGTAAATCGAAGTAAAAACGAACCCAAAGATGAAAAGCCTTGTAGCAAATCTTATGAGTCGTGATCGAGATACGAATGATTATTCTATTGTAAGGGCGACCATATCAAATGGCGCAGTGATAATCCTAAGAGAAAATAGCTTTGCAGCGAGACCCTTCCATCGTGGCGGGGATGGGGATGGAGATGAAGAAGCATATTTGATCTTCGTTTGTCGAAGAGATCTATTGATAGATGTTCTGAAAAGGCAAGGGGGTATGAAACTACTGGCAGCCTGAGCTCTGAAAGGTACTGGTCGACACCCTAGAAAGGAGGAGGCTAAACACATATCGCCAGAATCTACTTTACTCAGATCTTCTTTTCATGATGAGTTGGCGGCGGGGATTTCTTGTTCATGAGACTACGGACAACCCTACGTGCTCGCAAGCACGCGGCTGAAAAGAGTAGGTGAGGCAAGGATGCTTGCATTGACTCGTACTAATAACAACTCTAAAGCACGATGTTGCACTCAATTGCATTCGGCTGATGACGATCTCTGTAACTCTGAAGGTTGGGCACTTCTTTACATAGTTATCCCTGGGTATCAATAATGCTGATGTTTCCTTATAGACGGCTTTTATTTGGCAGAGTGTATGGGCTGAGTGGGTGAAAGGCTGGAGGTTACAGACAGCACCGCATGCCGAACGCCCGATCTTCTGGTGTGGACATATCACTCATCTTGAATGGCAAGTTAGCTCTATGGTGAGTGATCGATGATAGGAGTTCTAATATAATAACATACTACGTATGAGGCACTTCTATACTATAAAATTTCTTCCTATCAGGGAGTGTCGTTTTTATCGACCAGTTAGGTAGGGTTACGTTTCCACACGATAACATGTACACAACTGAATACCTCACCACTAGGTACTCTCGCCTAACTCTTTCTGATAGAGAACCGTAAGACTGCTTCTTTACTTAAAATCCGATAGGTGCCGTGTCTTATCGCATACTGAGAATTTACGATGAGAGGTGCAACCCCTTCGAATCTTTACGTACGGGCTAGCCAAGAACTTACATCCCTACGAGATTTGTAAACCACGGTGAGCCTAGATCCAAATATGTTTTTAATCCATGGAACGTACTCTTCGCAGCAGATACTTCTGATACCTGGTGAAAGTACCAGAGAGAGTTTATGGGATGACATTGTCTAGATGATTCGGGACTCATCTCTTGAAAATGAGTCGGGATTAGGATGACTACTATTCATACTACCTACTGTCATCTAGTCTATTGAATGAAATGAAGTTGTACCATCGCTTAATGATTCGTTTTATTTTCAGCAACATTTTGTCTGGTCTGTTCATTTTCGCGACAACTACCCCCCTACAACCTGCCTAAGTTGTCTCATACTTCGAATAAATATAACTGTAATCACCCCATGATGACTTGATTACTCAATCTTGTCGATAGTTTTCTGTCTTGTGTCCTTAACCTCCATATTACTCGTGCATCTTGCCTGGAGATATATAGAGATTGAGTCACACTTCAGGTAACTTCGCTTACGCCTCTATTGAATGAGTTTGAATGGAATCAAACGTCCGAATCAACACTCATCATTTCTGGACATTTTCCTCCGTTAAATACCTAAGCTCGTGTTGTCTGCCTTCAACACACTGACGATACTCCATCCTGCCTAGAAACATGTCCACATTTCGGTATTCGTACTCGTATAGAATATACGTGCGTACTCTTCGACACTCCGTCGTAGCCGCAACCTAGTCTTCGACCTAGACTGGGGCTATCCAGTATATCGGGATTCCCGTTGAAATTTCGTGAAGATGTACGAAAGAGGCGAGGTTGAAACATTCTGTAGGCTGTTGAATGTTGAAAAGTGTGTACCGGCATTCTTTTCGCCTCGGGTTTCTCCCATTTTTATTTTCTTCAATGCGTCACGCTAAGAACTTCGCTACTCTCACCCCAGACACCAGCCACACCACCATCACCCAAAAATTGAAGCAGGAGGCAGAACAGGGCGTCCTTCAACCACAACACAAACATTAACGGGACCATTCTTCAGATATGCAACAAAACAAACAAATGGTTAGTTAACATATATATTCAATGTACCAAATAACCCAATCAAGGCAAATCTCCAACACATCCTTCAGATCTTCTGCCTCGTTTTCGGATGTCACCTTGATTGAGACTACCAAGGGATCCTTGCTGATGACGAATGACACTGCCACGCCGGTCGATTGTGAGTCACTTACCTCTCTCCTGGGAAGTGATTTGGAATGAATGAGTGTAACGACTCCGAACAACGGATCAAATTGGAATGGTAATATAAAATACAATATTCGGGTGGAAGCACATGATATGGTGACATATCGAAAAGAAAGAATACATCCGAGTCATCGAGTGGTGACTATTACTTTCTATTAGTATTGTGACTCTAAGGAAATATTGAGAAAGAGGATATAAGTAGAATGTCTTCCTCTTTTGTTTTACCGTTTTGCTTCTTATCGTTAATTCGATCTCGGGTGCTCTGTCTATTCTTTGGGGTTTTATCTACTATACTGCACTCTGATTGGTATTGTTGTTACCTTTGCATAGCATCTACGAGTACCAACCAAAACATCCATACTCCAAATCTCCACTCAACCCCCAAGTAACACTTCTATTCTCACAATGGTCGCTACAAATCTATCCCCCTCTTCCTCTTCCCCTTCCCTCCCCCATACTTCAGACTCCTCTCCTCCGATCTATCATCGACAAAATCGACGTCGCGAAAGACCAGGTTCACGCGCCCGTCGCACCATGTCCCGCAAATCTGCCCTCGCCACCGATCTCAACGAAGGGATTCTCGAAGCTCGAGACTCTGAATTCTATATTCCGAACCACAGAACCGGTACTGGGCCCTCTCCAATACTGAGACAAAGCTTTGATCAAAGCTGGATGAGATGGAAAGCCCGACAAGCTGCTGAGCTTGAAAGTTTGGCCGTCAAACAAAATATGCGACAATTGGAGATGGAGAGGCAAACCATGATGAGGGAAGCGAAGGGAAGGGAAGAGGAAGAATTGGGGAAAATGCAACGTCGACTTTTTGGTGGTGAGGATGATGATGAGGATGTGAGTTGTGATATTGATCTTTGTCCTGCTATGCTGGATGTGGTGATGAGACTTTTTGATGGGGAGGTCGATTATTTGGATCCCTAGTAAGAGTCTTATCTCAAAGTCACTTCGTTTATATCATGTCTCGGTTCTTCGACCAACAGAATCTTGGGTCTCTTTAGCCGTGGAGTTTGGATGGTCAATATAGGGCACACCATATGGATGAATGCTTACGCATTTTTCTCATCCACAGGCTTTATGTTGCATGATAGCTCTTCATCCATTCATCTTCTCATCAAGGCGTCGGAAACAAGTTCAATATAGTGGAATGGAGAAACTAGCTCCATACACCTTCCGACCACCAATGCTGCGTCGCACAGAGACAGCATTATAACCATGATGCCTCAAAATCTTACATCATTATCTGATCTCGGCAAAGGAGAGGATACACAACACTTGACTCGCGTGTGAGGATGGACAAGTGGAATCTGCTCAAGATTTGCGCCCAATCAATACCTCACAACATCACACAATTTTATTATCATATATCTCGAATCCGGATCGGGATGTAACACAGTCATTACCACATTTTATATTATTGGCTTTATTTTTTATTATCATTCAACAACTTCGGATGTCGATACACTATCACCTTTCCGATAAACTCACGACAATGAATATTCCCGCCAATATCATATATCCACCTCGACACAATCAACACCTCGGTCCTCCGCCACCTGCCACTCTTGAGGCCCACCTACACCCTTGAAAAGCCAAACTCGAGTCCAGGGCGGGAGAAAAAAGCAAAAACATCAAATACGATATCCATCGAGTGACGACTCGCAACAAATTTCTCAGATCAACCACTACACACTTTGTATTCCATCAACCCCCCACCTCTATACTCACCCATTCAAGGGAAACCTCGCACTTCAGTTGAAAAAAACTTAAAGAAGAGAAAAGATATTGAGAATACATCTCCATAGACCGCAACTCTCTTTCCACCAAAAGGAATGGAGTTTGCGAGAGGAGCAGTATCTTTTTTCTCGTCGTTTTTGTGTTTCTTTTCTCGATTTCTTCTTTTGAATTGGGGAAATGGGTGATTGGGTTTAAAAACAAAGTACGCAAAATGCAAAAGAAGAAAAGAAAGGAATGTCATTGAGAATACATCTCCCTAGACCGTCAATCTCCCCTCACATTAAAAAAAAAGAGCGATTGTACGAGAGGAGCAATGATGTTTCTTTTCTCCTCTTTTTTTGTTATTCATTGTGTTTCTGGATAATCAATATCAATCAATCACTTGATACGAGAGATTGGTTCTCAATAGCTTGATGGTGATTTCGTTGATGTTTTTCTTTTCCCTGTGTGGAAAATCGGGGGTGGGAGAATAAGAGTAAGGGGAATTGTGAGAGGAAATTAAAGGGGGAGGATATCATATATACCGCGACGGAAAGTATTGTCAACAATAGCTGTGTGCTCACTTCTCACGTAAGAAGAGGGAAGAAAAGGAACCCGGGGAAGGGAAGAAATATAGATACGGGAATTATTTGAGCTCGCTATTGTTGGGTTGAGAGGATAGTATATTGTTTGGATCTTGCATGGGGTTGGAATATGATGTGATGAGATAAAATAGGATTGAATAGTTATATTTTTAAAACAGTGAAATTTATCAATTCATAAATCTTTTCACGTGGATAGTCTATATGTGGACAGAAACCCGTGCTTACGAACTATATGTACGAATATTGTTCGAGGCTTTGAGATGGGGATGCACAAGCACACTAATAAACATTATATCGAGGGAAAAAATATCCATTTTGAGTGGGTATCGAATTATATACTAAAGTTATTTTTCGAGTAGATTAATGCATTCTGCTAGTGGGACTTGAATTACAAGACATTCTCACCTCATCTTATTTCATCTCATGACGTCAGGAATTATCCGCCAAGAACCATAGAATAACCAAACCCAACTACACGACACATACCTACAGTCCACGCTTCACCTTCTGAACTCTCCACCCTAACCCTCGAACCACCCCCCGATTACTCATCCCCTCTCCCAAAACCTCATCCTCAACTCCCCCAACTCCAACGTAAAAACCTCTTTCGTATCCTGATCCCCCTTTGATCCCCCTCCCCCTCCCAGTTCCCCCCCTCTCCCCTCAACCCTCCACTCCCGGCCCAACAATTTCTCTCCCCTTTCCCCCTCCGCAAACTCAATATCAAACTTCATCACCACCCTCGCCACCACCGCTCTCAACTCCATCAACGCGAGTTGTTTACCAATACACGAGTAGTTTCCCGCGCTGAAAGGGGTAAAGACCGATTTATCGAGGAGGTATTGTGTATTTTCGGGGGAGGGAAACCAGCGGGTGGGGAGGAAGGTGTGGGGGGAGGGGTAGCAGGATTTTACTATGTTGGGGTCAGATTTTAGGATTGAAGGAAGTGTGAAAGATGGTAGGGAAGTAGAGATGGGAAAGAAAGAAGAGAACATACAACGACCCATCGTCCACGTAGGAGCCGAGATAACCACATTCCCCGGGATGTACGTCTCATCAATCGACAGACCTTCCGACGGAGTTTGTCTCAGCACACCACTGGGAACCGGTGGGTGCAAGCGAAGCGTCTCGTTGATAACCGCATTTAAATACGGCGCATCTTGTATATCTCTACATTCGCTTGACGAACCAGGAGTAAAGATCGGCTCGAGCTCTTCTCTCAATGTATCTACGTGATGCGGTTCTAGACAGAGGTGATAAAAAAGATACGTGAGAGTTGCAGATGTAGTATCGCTACCTGCTATAATAGCGAGTCGTGAGTCGCCATGTAGCCATCTTGTGAGTTGTTCGACTAGTTAGACTGTGGCACTATGCGAATTGAAAAACGGACGGGAACTACAAACCTGGCATCTCTATGGATGGGATCTGGATCATTTTCTTCGGCGTCGATGAGCCACGTCATGATATCGGGTACACTTGGCTCATTCTAATTTGTCGAATGTTAGTGGATTTCTTGAAGTGAGAGGAACAAGTGCACACGTACTGCTCTGCGGATATCAATATGCTCAGCACAGTAGTTAATAAATCTGTTGAAACCATCCATTGCACCCGGAATCTTAATGAGAATAGGGAAGACCCAAGGAATAGGCGTGAGAATCCCTAATGGTTCCATGCCTTCTTGTAAAAGTTTGAGCGCAAAATGCTGTGACTGTTAGTCAACCCGAATATGTTTTTAGATGTGGGGAGACAACCTTTTCTCCCGTTTTTAACATATCAAATGATTTACCAAATGCCAAATCTCCTATAACATCAAACGCATAGGCGTTAAACCAGTGCGTTGCATTAATTGCTTTTCCTCCAAACGCACTAATCTGCGAAACCAATTCGTCTGCATATTTGGTGACTCGACCCTCATAGTTGCGTAGAGCTGTATGCATATCAGTAGCAATCTCAAACGATCATTTCCATGAGAACTCCATACCTTTTGCATTAAACCCTCGATCCCAAACTTTTCTTCTCTTGTCATGCTTTACGCGATCACGTTCTAAATGCATAGTCGTATGCGGAAGTCCCACAACTGCATCCGACCAGAGAATTAATATTATCCCTAGAAAGACACTCCAGGGAGTCAGGATACGAACCATCATACCAAGCACTCTTCGTACATTTCGAAGCCGGTCCAATAATTGCTTTCACGGCTTCCGGTTTAATGATAGAAAGTTCATTCGGACCAACTCTTCATGTCATCTCAGTTAGCATCACCCAAGAACTAGAACTCGACGAAACCAACCTCACGATATCCCCGTACTTCTTATGTAAAGTATGCACTTGCAGATAATTATCACTCGTATCCAAGAGTCTGGCCACATGAGTCAATTTCGAGCATTTAGCACTAAATGGTCCTGGAAAATGGCGGAGCGGATGGAAAAATACGCGATAGGTAAGGATGCTTGCTGTCAACGAAGTGAAGAACGAAGTGAGGATGACAGTTGTGAGTCTCAGCGTTGACACATATGAAGATGTGATATCAAACTTGAGGATCGTAAGGAAAACTACAAGCGGGGAGAAGAGGGTGACGAGAAGCCATTGCAGCGATTGCATGTGATGTTCGCCATGGATGAAATATCCTAGATGTGCTGCGAGACCAGCGAGAGCCGGTAGGAGAGTAAAAAGTCCATAATTGAGGTCCGGCATCATTCTATGATGAGCTACGACGTATCTACAAAAGAATGTGTAACGGGCCGCGGAAATCCTCAGTCTGTGGAACCAACTGTAAGGGCAGGTAGTTCCGTAGGATTGAACGATTCTCTTTGCAACTTGCAAAGGCAGAAAGAAGGAGCTACGCTAGCTCTTATGTGTTAAGAGAGGAAAACGAAGATAAAAAGAAGTCGAGTAGTGTTTTCGTCGCATTTTTATATGATTGCCGTTGTACAAGGAGTTCCCCCCCACTTTTAGTAGTAATATCTTGCGCTGAAAGTGGTTTCTGAAGCGCACAGCTTACTCGATACCGTAATTATGTGATATTCCACGTAACAGAAGTCTTAGGTACCTTTTAGTTTGTGGATGACTATATTCAGCTTTCTTTCAGTGCACACCCAGTCTCGCCGGTGTGCTGATGCTTTTAAGATGCACGTTCATTATCGCAACAATGGGGCCACCCACAATAAGCTTGGGATGAAGTTCCTATAGGGCGCGGATTTTCCCATGTTAAGTGTTTCGTCTGTAGGCGCATCATACAACCACTTATTTTCAGTACTTGGCTGATGATTGATTGGTCTTGGCTGATGATTGATTGGTCTTGGCTGAGTCCAGTCTGGTTCAACTGAGACCTCGTTGACCAATACAAATGTGCTCCCAAAAAGTACATGGAAACTCTCACAGAAAATATCATTATTCTGTATGCATCCCCATGAGCTATCCAAAAAGGACGAACAACAATCGAAATGTGAAATTTTATGACTCCCTAATGGTATCAAAGTGGTATCATGTTCATAATCTCATAGACATGGTCAAAATTAGGGTCATCTAAACCAACCCTAAAAGATGTCGTCCTACTTACACATCCTCCCAATTCATCCGATCATCCAGACGTCCAATCATTGTGATCAAAATATAATCACACCATCTATCCCATCGTCCAAACCGGAGCCTGACACAGCACTTGCCTCCCCCTAATATCGATGCCCATGAATCCAGCAAAGCGTACTTTGTGAACTCCGTCTTCACTCTTGATTTTCTCACTCGATTCTTGTCCACCTTGGCTACTAATGCTCATTTTCTTTCCCGCCGCTCCGCCGCTACCACCACTTCCCATCATAGCTGACAACATGCCCTGGCCCTTCCCACTCTTCTCCTTCATCAGCTTTCCATGTCCCTTTTGCTCCTCTTTTGAGTTCTCATCCTTATCATGACTTCCCACACTACTTGAATCAAAACTATTAGTTTCTGCGCCTGGATGTTCCAATGCAGGAATACCAGCTTCAATTTTCATGTACTGGCGGTTGACCAAATCGTTTGGCATCGGATACATGATTACGACATCTCTGCTTTCCAAGGGAATGTTCGCTGCAATGCTCACTGCTTGCTCCACGATAGTTGTCGCGGCTTCTTCAATACCACCCGGTACTGGCTCCTGAAGATAATTAATCAAGTTGGCCGTCAGGTTGCTGGTGACCATTTTCGAGAATTGTTTCTTGTACTCTTCGCTTTCCGGTGAATTCAGCAGGTCCTTCAACCCCTCTAAAGTTGCCAATCTCCACTGAACGATCTTTGCCGTCAGGGCATCGGATTCTTCTTGGTTATTGATCGCAGGAGAAAACAGACGAATATTTTGTTCGATGTTTTTCAAACTCAAGCTGAGTTCACTCTCCAAGCCTGGATGAAAGCTGCGGTTGAAAATTTCATCAACAAGAAATCTTGTGATACAAGCTCTACCGACAGCCGTCATTTCTTGTTTTCCTATTGACATCGCATCACGATTGACAGATTGTGCAAGCCATGCAGGTACCGTTCTCCAATCCTTGCGAATGTTGAAAGCAAGATTGGTAATAGCACCATCTAACCGTGCGAAGCGTGACTGGTACTCACCATCATCAAGAGATGTGCGAGATTGGGATAGACGTTGATTTGCCAAAGTATTTTGTAATTGTTCGACCTGTCCTTGCAATTGCTCCACTGATGCTGTCTTGTCAAAATACAGCCCCTTGACCTTTTTATATTTCTGCACTTGCGGGAACTTAGCAAGGAACCATATCATTATGGGATGAACAAAACTTACGTAGCTCTTTGTATGCCTCATTTACATCTCTATCTCCAGGTGCCGGTGGTGGTGTGCTTCGTCCTTGGTCCCCACCACCAGAAGGATTGTACTGTTCTCGCTGTAGAGGACCCCCTCTGTAATTTGGACCTTGATTTTGAGGAGGGAGTGGACTTGTTGCTGGTGGTTGGTTATTGTTATTACTAGGGCCTGACTGTTGTTGGCGGTATGCCGGGGGATCCCTCCCATCTGATTGTGCCATTTGAGTTTGTAGTGTTTGTTTCGAGTCTGCAGATCGTCGATTTTGTTGTGTTGTGGTGGACTGCGGTGCCATGGAAAGGTGTTGCGACAAAGGACGATTTGGAGATAAGCCTGGAATCGGCCCTTGTATTGAAGTTGTTCGCTCTGGATAATCTGCCCTGTTGGGTTGATGAATACTTGTCGGAGATTGATTGTTAGATTGTACCGAACCGGGACGTTGATCTTCCCTATATATCAAAGATGAATCGAGTTGTTGTGTAGAGGTGCTGTCTGGAGTGAAGTCCTGCGGTGGGTATTGGCTGTTCGGGGAACTTGGGAAATTATTCAATTGTTGCTGCGAATGAATTTGACTGGGTAATTCGTAATGATATTGCTGAACACTCTCGGGTGACTCGTATTGACTAGCAGCTGAAGGAGATTGCTGGTAATAAACTGGAGTAGGTGATTGCTGAAATTGTTGATCAGGGAAATCGTTCTGCGACTCTGCCGAATAGAGGGGTGAATCAGAATCGCTTTGTACAGCTCGGATTGTGTTCAGAGGTTGTCGTTGCCCATGCACGTTCAAAGAACTCTGAGCGCTCTGTGGTGTGTTTCCTTCAGGACTCGTGATGAGATAAGGATCCAACCCGTCGTCTTCGGGAGTTTCTTGAGGTGATGGCAGATGGGATCTCGAAGCCTGAGCTGCAGGTTGCCAATCTGCTCTTTGATGTTGATCTACTGAATTCCTTTGTTGACTAGTTCGTATTACAGGAGGGCCCTCGTGTCTGCGAGACAACCTGCGCGCGAGTCCGCCAGCGTTGTTACTGTAAGGAACCTGGGTAGCAATTGGGGGGTACTTTTGTTCAGAGGAGCGGCTTGAATTTGTGCCTCGCATACGATCAAAAATACTACGTTTCTTAGGTTCCACCACGGGCGATTGTATATGTGCTGTATGTCTGCGACCCTGGTTTTGTAACCTTTGAGTATCAAGTACTAAATCATCGACGGATGAGACAGGTGGAGATGGGGAAGCTTCGAGCTCTTGTGGATAGATCTGCTGTTGTTGATATTGATTTGAGACAGACCGGGAAGGTGACGCTCCAGAATTATTATGATATGCAGATGCACGAGATACAGCTTCGGGATTGCGAGGTTCGTAGGGCTGGTCAAAGGTTTGAGGTGGTGTGGTGGTAACTGTAGTGGTGGTGGAGGAGGAGGATTGTTGTTGAGTTGTTGTGGACCTACCTTCGCCAGAACCAGATGAGAAGGATTGTTGCGAGTGCGAGGCTGAAGGAGTGACCACCGCTCTTTCTATAGCAGGTTCGTTCAATGCCTGCTTTGAACGATTGCTATGTTTGAACGGGAAGGGCATTTGTATTATGTTCACGAAACACAATCAAACGGAATCAAAAGAATGAATAGGGTCGGGCCTGGCTGTGCTGGTGGGGCTGATTTCCTTCTGGCGTGTCAGTATGTATCGTAGTGCACACTTCTTTGATCTGCCACTTAGATTTCTGACAGCTGCCGGTAGAGTCAAGGAGTGACCCTGAGCGCCTTCAACGTTCAAACAAGATTGATTACCTTAGCATGAAAAGACGATTCGGAATAGGTTTTTGGTATGGTGCCCAGTTGGAGGATGATACAGAAGTGCTCCCAGAAAATCTATGTGAAGCCAAAAAAATAATAATAGCATTGATACTCACAAACCGGGTCAACTTAATGTTTAGAGATGCAGCTGGGGTAACTTTGTAAAGCAGTCTGGGATCAATTTGGAGCCATTTGGACCTGGGGATGAGGGGATAAGGGGGCGAAGTAAAATAGTTTAGGATGAATCCGTTCTAAAGCGTGAAGATGGACGAATCAATTGGGATTGCGGCAGTTCGAATCATCTTGATTCCATGGTTTATTGCTTCTCGTCTCTTGTCATCTTTCATCCAAAGTTACCTAGGTGAACCGAATTATGAATATTGCTATTCCTATTGATATTGGTATAGATATAGATATTGACATTCGAGCATGTGTGCATGTATGTAGATACGTATGTATGCAGAGGCACGCTCAGCTTACATGTGTATTAGACTGGATGCATCAAGCCAACACAAAATATAGATGATATGGTTCATGTATTGGTTGAAAGTGGATTAACGTAGGATTCACTATTGATGTTTCTTGAGACGACAAGAAGATCACCACGAGATTTAATCGGATGAATCACCTATCTGTGAAGTTTAATATGAAGGATTGTCGATATGATGTATTGCTTGGATCTGATTGTCATTGACCAGAGATTCAAGAGCATATAATTAGATCACTAATGTGTCCGCAATCAATGACTCTTCCCTTTCGAAGAAGAGACTCGTGGGATACAAGAATCTGGGTGTTAACCGCAAGATAAACGACTCTAATCTCATAACTAAGCCTATAGATAATAGATAATGATGATATATGGATTTTGATGACGTCTTATTAGTGGTGCTGGTGGATGTTATAATTAGGCGATGTATTCAATTCCATAGGTATCTAATTCACCCACCATAGGCGCTGGAGGATGGATTATTGAACTTGAAGACTTTACGCCCTGCCTTATTATTATCATGCCTCATGCTTATCTCATGAAATTGTCTTATCACCTGGTCGTGTACTATCAACGGCGATGCTAAGAAGCTCTGCAGACTTTAGTACCGACATCTCCCTCTAACTCCTTGGCATTTAACCATTGAAAATTCATGGTCAATAAAACGCTCAACCAACAATTGCGACATTTCCTTTCTCGAAATGGCGCAGAAAACTAAGAGAAAGCTAAGGTACTGTAGGTATTTTTAGAAATTCTCCCGAAGCACGAGAAGAAAAGCTTGACCTAACACCTGCATTCATTCAGGCGAATTCTTCCATGAATAACGTGGTGAAAAATGGTCGGCTGGCCACAAGCTGGCATTTGATTAAAATGCAACCAAAATTCAATTGAGCCGAGAAGTCTCGGAGTATTGCATAGGAGTTAATGATATCTCAAGAGACTTATACCATTTCTCCGAGCTATGTAGGCTTGGAAGTTGGATCCTCGTGAGATTCGGGGGTTGGATATGTAGCTCGAGATGCTCCGGATTGTCACTTTGCCCATGAAACTACCGTGTATACAGCGACGAGATTTGATGCTACCATTGAAGCTCTGTCAAGTGGCCGGATACATATTTCTGTGAATGGTTGTCCTCCTGTTAGACGAATGATATTGGGCTGTCATTCAACACCGGTAACGGCATATGCTGTATCACCGGCGCGCCGCCATGTAAGATAAATCATAAGATTCCAGCCTTAATAATTTCCTTCGTCCCAACACACGTTTCGACAAACGCCTCTGATGACTTGATGACTCAAAAGTAATTTGTAAAGGGACCATTCTAAAAATATACCTGCCTTTCGGATAAATTGTCAACTCGTCGAATGATTGTGTAAAGGAGGAAACATCGGTGAGCTGTAGACTCAAGACTTGATTTCAGGACGTCTGATATTCGATAATCAGAACGAATAATCTGCAGCTGCGACGTCAACATTGTTCCCATGATTAATCATGAAGACGTTGGCTTATCCGGATGACGGCAGAAATGAAGCTATGAGAATAGTCATTGTAACTCTATCGTAGAGCTTGTAAAGCCAATATCAAGGAATGAAGGAAACCCCGCGATCCTTTCAGGGTCAGCTCCCGTTATTTGTTACTCCCTGTAGTAAAATGGGGGCTCAAATCTGCGGTAGATCTATGCCAATCTTGGTTGATTGGAGACCTTTGCATGACAGCATTAAGACCTCCGCATTTTTTTCTATTTATTTTGCATAGCCTCAGCGTAGTACGGAGTAGTGCTAACATACAGCGAACAGAGTGTACGCTTTACCGGCATATCATTCGGCGTCTTTCGATATGATGAATGCAGAAACGCAAACCGCTCATCTCTTATTGCGAAGATAACACATCAAGAAGCAAATACCGATAGCTTTGCAGCTTGATGAGAGAGAAACCCCCATCAACCCCTTTTCTTCATTCAACAACCATAAGCACAGCAATCCTCCATAGAGTACATACCAGGTACCTAGGTCGGTATGTCATACGATTCACGAAAGGACCAAAACAGCACCTACTGTCTCTGCCCCGCAAATCCATTCCATGTTCTACCAGAACGCCCAACGTTTCAAATACACTCCACAGCTCCTTGATCTTCGTCCAATCTTGAAGATCTCCATCTTAAGATGCTAATGCCAAGATCCATATATTAAAGTCATTCAGGTGCCGGGCGGTCGAGTTGTGAGTTACGAGGGTACGAGGGTACCGGTACGTACTACGAGGCTACTTTAGCATACTACAACTTCACAACACAAGGACCATCCTCCTTTCGCTAGACCTCCTTTATTCTCCTAGCCAGGGGTTTAGCCAGGGAAAACACTATGATGGTAGCGGCTAAGACTACTATAATATGTGAATACCAATTGATATTTGACGTGAATCCTTTCCTCAACCGCTTTGTTTTTCATCCTTCACTCATGAAATTTTGGAACAACCATGGTCAATCAAGACAACAATGCGTCTTGTCCATGCCTCTGGTCAATTCGGAATTGCAATTGGAGAATGGTGATGGATGAATTATGGAGAACTCATGGATCAAAGTGATAGTAGGATCTCAGAGGCAGACAGATCATAATGTTTCTTTCCTCTTTCCGTGTTTCCCACCAGATGCCTCTGTGTATGCAGCAGTAGTACAGAAGAACTGCAAACCTTAAGGAGGGAAACGAAACAAAACAAATTGGTCCCCTTTTATTTCACTACTCCATTTCCATTATTCCTTCACATATCGTCCGATCCGAGAGATTTTTGTAAAACAAGGAGTTTCCAGCCTTCAACTTTTCCGTGGTCCAAATCCCGTTTGTCATATGATTCGATCTTCATTGTACTGCACCATAGTGGACATCTTCACTTTGTACCTGCCTCACTAATTAGATCAGGGGATCTGCAACTTTATTTTTATCTTTTATCTTTTATCTTTTATCCTTTGCTTGTGCTTTGCTTTAGTGCTTTAGTTTCGGTTCCTACTTTATTATTCCTTTACTTGCAACCGCGATTCGCTTGTGGTTGATTTATATTTCATCATATATCAACCTCACCTTGTCTCCAGATCAACGTCCTGTTTTCTCTCCTCTGCAACTACAATCATCAAAATACATTCGTTCTTCTCAATCCCTACCTACCTCTTACTATAATTCGATCTACAATCGAAGTTTTTAATTCTTGATCCTTCAATCCTATCAGAACAATATTAGAAAAACTTCAAGATGCAATTCTCCAAGCTTCTCAGTGTCGCCGTCGGTCTTTTGGCCACAGCAGAAGCCATCTCCGTTCAAAAGCCTCGCATTGCTGCCCGTGGTTCCCAACAGAAATACGATTTGAAGCTTAATACCGTCCATGCTGCTGTCCCTAGTTCTAATGCTATTAAGAACATGATTATCGAGGGCATCGTTACCAGATCTGCTGTTGACAAGAGTAATGGAACTGTCGTTTATGATGATTCCATTTCCTGTATGTTTATTATTTTGTTTATTTCATTGGTTATCTCCAATCACTTTGCACATCCTATCTTATGTTTTTGAATCCTCATTTAACAATTTGCCACCGAATAATTAAAAACTCCCAGCTAACAAAAATAAATAGTCACCTTCATCGACCCCAACAGCAATACTTCCACAGCCTGCAACGATGATTTTCTGGGCTCACCTCAAACCACTCAATTCCCTACCGGATGGGTTCCCTGCAATAACAACGGCAACTTGATGGATGATTTCTACTGGCAATTTACTGAATATACATCCCTTACTCAATTCAGTATTGAGTTGATTCATGGTTTCGTTGGCGCCAAGTACGTTATTCCTTAACCCTCCCCCTCTCAATTTCCCCACCGAATTTACCAAGCTGGGTCCGGGGAAATTGAAGTTTACATTTCGCAAAGATAAATGCTAATGTATCTTCCTCACACAGCAATGCAGGAGAAGTTCTCAGATCCGCAGATACACCCATCACCCTCATCTGCGCCGATGTAAACCATGTCGATGGATGTTATTCCAACCAAACCATTTCAATTCCCGTCGCCACCGCTACCGCATAGATGAATCGAATTCGATCAACGAGATTGGGGGTGTTTTTTGTGCTTCGATGGGTGGACGTTTGTAATGGCTAGAGTGGCGAGAGTGATAAATGATGGAATGGTAGTCTAGGTTGTGCCCAAGAATACGACCTCCCTGGGTTCTGGTTGAAAAGACATTGAGTTCAGAAATTTCTCCTAGAAAGTCTGGGTTTGCTCAAAATTTTGATGGAGAAATGTAGATACCTCTTCAATCCTAATGATGCTTATTGTCAGTTCGAATGGCATGGGCTGGATATAATCAAGCAAAGTATTAAAATATGGACAAATACATGATCAAAAATGCGGTGCTGGTGAATCGATTCATGTGTGTTTACCTTGGTGTGGCTAGGTACCTGTCCCGTTTTGCCACTCGTCTATGTCACGAATCCCCTTGAACGATTTGTTGTTGATAATATCCATACCTCTCTATTCGCAGGAGAAGAACAGGCGCATTTCTAAAACATCTTTTACAACTCAATCATTTCTCTTCAACATTGTATAAAATAAAGGGTTGAAATGATATTTGTACAACGAGAAGCTAATTTTTCTTGGAGTCTTTTTGAATTTATATAAATCATTTGTGACTGATTATTTGTTCAATTAAGTTGGAAAATATCAGTAGATATGTGAATGGTTGAATCCCGCCTGTTTTTTCCTCCTGCAAATAGTCTCTGTCGCTGTGATCGTTCATGGGTACGCGACAATGAGGATCCGAAATGAGATGTAATCAAACGGGCGACAGAGGGCACCCAGACTAATAAAACTTCGACCAGTAATAACAAAATATATATTCATAAAATCGTATTCTCTATTCTGCGTTTTTTTTTTTCTCTTTCCCGCGCCCTCCAAATTCATTACTACATTACCACACAATTACAACGATTAATTCGCTGGAGTAGTTACGTTTCCATACACAATGCCATCATCATTGGCCATCGTACTCCATCCACCTTCCAAACCCCAGATCTTGGCATCAACGATCACACCCTCATTAAGTCCCGCAGCTGTCACTTCGACCGTGTCCAGAATTCCCTCGGGGAAAAATGTAATGGTTCCACTGCTTCTTCCTGCGTCGACGAAGACTTCGAGAATGGATCTGTCGATGACGACATCGAGTTGCAAGGTTCCTTCATCGTTGATGGTATTATCGACGGAAAAACGATCGGTGAAGAAGGGGTTGGTTTCAGCGAACCCGTTGAGGTTGCGGCGGGAAAGCCAGAAGGTCGGGTCGCCTCCGAGGTTCATGCCTCCGGAGATGGATTCCCGGGTGGAAGAGGAAGAGAAGGTGAAGTTGAGGGTTCCTTGCGCGATATTGTCGTTGCTTATCTTGCAGCTGATGTAGATAGCGCCGCTGGGAACGGACGAATAGTTGGCGATGAGACTACCGTTTTCGAGATTGTCGCTCGAGGCTAGGGGTTTGGATGCATTGTATAGGGGCGTCATGTCGTATGGGTATTGGACGAGAGTCCAGCCTGTACGCTTGACATTTGCGAGATGGGTACGGCGGGGCAGAGACATGGCACTGCGCCAGCCTTCGAGTTCTCCTGTTGGGACTTGTTGTGCGTATTGCCAATTGCTGGACCAGGCTAAGAAGATAGGGTCTTCATCTGCTGGAATTCCGGAGAAGAATTGGCCTGCGTAGTTGTCTTTTGCGAAGTCGGTAAGACGGGCTGCGGAATCAAGGGAGGTGAAATGCGTTCCGTTGAATGTACCGGGGAAATATTGGGTTGTGGAACCGCCGAGAGGTGCACCCGGATTAATGGAGATAGCAAGGAGATACATGTTTTCATCTCCGGTGCCATTGGCAACGGGCATACGGACTAGGTTAGGGCATTCGTATTGGAGGCCTAGAAGACCATGGTGACTGAAATTGGAGGTGGCAGTCCAATCTTTGAGATCAGGAGAGGTGAAGATACCGATTTCAAAGGCCTGGGCATAGGCAACTACCATCACCCAATGGTCCTCAAACCATGTGACTTGAGGGTCACGGAATTGAGTCGAGGTTGATGGGATGACAGGGTTTTGGGCATATTTTTCGAAAGTGTAACCGCCGTCAAAAGAGTAGGCAAGATTTTGGGTCTCAGACTGAGGGGTGTTGAGGGTGTAAAGCGCAACTACACCGTTAGTTTGGTTCGGGAAAAACCCAGATGTGTTGTTTGCATCGACCACTGCGCTTCCACTGAAAATTCCTTCGTCAGCGTTTCCAGGATAAAGCGCAATCTTTTGGTTGTCCCAGTGATAGAGATCTTTGGATGTTGCGTGGCCCCAATGCTGGTTTCCGGCTACAGTTTGTGTTGGGTTGTCTAAGATATTATTAGCGACGTCATGGTATGGGAAATTCGAGAGTCAATCACATTGATAATAGACATGATAAACTCCATCTGCATCTCTGAAAAGTCCATTGGGATCATTCATGAAATTTTGTGGTGGAGAATAATGGATCTGAGGTCGCAATGCTCCAGTATAATCACCCGGCAGAGGTGCATCGGTTGGAACACTGCTATCCGACGTGAAAGTTGAGAAGGATGCCGAAGTTGAGCTCGTTTCCTGCGCACTGGATACAGCGGCAAGGAGAGTCACGGCTAAAGAAGTAAGGCGAAACATTGTGAGAAGATGTTGGGGATGATTTCATTCTATCCGAGATGGAGATTTGCCATCTTTATATACTCGTCTTTAGAAATTTACTAACCCCCCGGTCCCCTGCCGTTAGAACAGATGAGTAGAGTTTAAATGCCTAGTTCACCATGATTGATGACAAAATGCTCATTCTCACAGTCAAGTGATGAGTTATAATGACATACTCGAGGTTTCCCTAGTCTCGGACTGGTAGCATAGCATTCACACTCATGTAATTCCCCACGATATGCAAAATATGACCGAGAAAATCGGCGGCTTAGCTCGAAGTAGAACAGATCAAGAAGTCGGTGGCCTTTTTACCTGGGATGTTGATCTTGGACATGGAGGAAGTGGGAAACGGGAGAAATGCGGGGATTGCTAACGGCTCCATAAACTGGATTTGTTTAAACTTTATCCTCACTTCTTTGGATGGAATGCATTCGCCTACCCCGCCAGCCCGCGCGGAAGTTGAAGAACTAATTTCATGCGTGTATCCCAATAGTCTACCTAGGTAGGTAGGTTACCGTAGGTACTAGGTAGGTACGGATTCGGGAAAGATGGTATCCCGCCTTCAACAGAGAAGTCCCCCGGGAAATTGGCAGCCACACCGCCCTTCAATTATTAGCAGTGGAAAATCCGGGTTACTCCGTATATTATTGCTTGGAAATTGCATGCGTAGTGTAAAGCAAAGATAAGTAGCAATATAAGTTACTTTAAATTCAATTGTGTGTTTGTTGACAAGATATATAAGCATACCAATTCCCATTGTTTTATCTCTCTCGTGTTCAAAGGTACACAAGATCTAACCACCTCCATCCATCCTCTTCATCAGTAGAGAGAACCATCGGAATGGTCGGAACTTCAAGGGTGTACCTACCTGCACACCTAGCACCCGCGTACGTATGCATTGTAACAATGATGAGTACGAAGTACGGCGCAGTGGATATGTTTGAGTTTATGGCCATGCTGTTCGGCAGATTTGATGATCGAAACTATTTCGTAAGAACATATGGAAAATAGCATGTTCGATGTTCGGGAAAGTTCGAATGAACTCCTAGCTCGGTCCCTATGACTATGAGCGGCCTCTTAGAAGGCTAGAAAAATGAAAAATGAAAAATGAACTGCGGGGGCCCGGGGGGTAAAAATACTCCATACTCCTCCCTAGGTAGTAGGTACCTACCTACCTACCTACCCACCTACCTACCCAGTACGTCCTCTTCATACTCTCATCACTCGGAGCGTATCGAATGGAGTTTGTTTAGTACAGGGCAGAACAATACAGTATTCCGGTACATCCGTCCGTCACATAATGACGTTAGTTGAAGTACCGAAGCTATCAAACTAAAATTGAATAACTTTGAGGTTTGTTTGACATCGTCCTCGGATCAATTCGATTGATTATTATTGTCAATGCGAGACAAGCCATCTTTTCGTGAATGTAATGTTGTTATCAAAATACGTCTATGATACTTATGAACTTCCGTAGTACTTTACGCGCTCAATGCAACCCGTCACCAATGAATTGCTCTCAGTGTTGCACGCAGGAAACCCCTGACTTGAAAATGACCAGTCGGAGGAATACCATTCGCGTTTCCAGGTGCCCTCTCCTCATAACAAAGCCCAACCGAGAGAGACGTGTGAAACCACACATTACCATATTGAGGCTTTGTTTTGTTTTGTCTTTGCTTTACTTCATCCCATTGTAAGGAGTATTTGAATCCAAGATGGAGTAGTCGCGATGGTAAATGAAAGGGAAGTGATAATGGTCGCGTTATTTCATTCAATAGTAAGGGGGGGAGGTCTTCGTTATGTTAGGAAAATGTGATAGTTATGGGAAATGTCTACTCACTCTACTCTATTCCATTCGACTTTATTACTCTACATCCATTCTTGTAAACTTACAACAGAGCAAAGTTCAGACTTACTCCCCAAAAACAGTTGATCCATTCTTATTATCATTCTCTTCATTCTCCATGGGAAATCTTCATCCCAAGCTTTATTCAATTCAATCGTTCGCATTAATACCACCGGTAGATGGTTTGCAAACAGCTACAAAAAGCAGCATTCAGTCATTACGGAAGCCGGAATGTTCGCGTAGGGTGTCGCCGATAAGGGAATAGCGTTACATCTCCCGCCTCGACTCCAAAATATTATCAACTCCCCATCTATCAACAACCACAACCCTCGACGATCTACATCTGTAGAGATCAGTCAACAGCGTATAATCATTGAAAAGGATCTTTTTCAAGAGCAAAATTGGTGACTTTGCGACTAGTCAAGGACGTGTGGACGGCGGCAAAGCGAGCCTACAATTGATTGCGGACCTCTCCTAGTACAACAATAGATGGGTGGCAGGGAAACGAACT